TTGTTTTTTTTTCTATCAGCCATACATAACACTTTTTAAAATGGAGATCAAGACTTCAAGTTGTCTTTAACCTGATCAAAATATACTGTCAGAAATGTAAATTATTTTAGTTTCTGTACAGTCATTAACATTCTGTCAGATAGAGGTTTACAAAATAAAAAATATTTCACGGTAAACTATACAAGTGGTTTGTTATATTCTATTATTATATGTTCACTCCAAGGATGTTAATTATAATTATTTGTTGCAGGAGAAAACAGAAAAGAAATCTGGTGATTCGAAATCTTCTTCTACTGTCTTGGTTAGTTTTAATATTTTTTCTTGTCACATACTTGATACCACTCTTGTGACTATGTTGTCAAGTTTTTCATTTTAGAGAGTCTACATACCTTTTTTGTGTAATTACTGTAATGTATTCAATTAAGAACACTGTGAGTTGTATATTATAAGTTTAATACATGTTTACAGTAGGTAAGATGGCTGCCAAGTGCCTGCACGTGCGGTAGAAAAGATATATATATAGCATACAATAATCTCGATACCAAAGCACTTTGAAGCATAATCCATAGTCTCGGTTTTCCATGTCAATATATTACAATTACTAAACAGGATTTTATGATATACTACTCCAGTATTATCATAAATTTGTGTTTTGTTAAATGTGATCTCTACCCCTAATGTCACTTAATGATTATAAAAATTTTTCCGTTCATTTGTTTGATAAATTAAAGAATGCTTTATTTTAAAAATGATAAATATTGATCTTTTTTCACTTTGCCAAATTACCCTGGACGGCTTTGTACTGATTATATTGTAGCCTATACTCTTTCAAGTTAAAAAACTAAAGAATAATCAAAGTATTTGTTTGTTTTCAGAATTTATCAGATGATCAGGGTTCAGCTATTGACCTTGACCTAGGACCACCCATTGATCAGATGTCGGCCAAAAACTACAAAAAAATGAAATCAGTAAGTAAATTTGTGTCTTGTGTTTGAATATCTGAAATTATCTTCTGGTGTCAAGTTTTTTTCAGATTTACTGGAGGAATAGAAAGGGATACACATCATACTTGCTTGAGGATTATATTCGCAAGCAACTGTCCTGATGATGAAGTTATATCCAAAACATGTATGAAATGTTAGTGATGTAATTTATTATTATAGATTTTACTACGTCTGACCAAACTGTGTGTACAGGAACTAGCTGGGGGTGACGGAAATAGAAAACCTAAACGTCACGAACAGAGATTGTTACGGAATATGGGAGCTCATACTGTTGTTTTAGAATTACTACAGATTCCATATGATAAGGTAAAGTAACTTCGGTCAGACAGTTGAATTCTGAACTGTCTACTGAGCAAAGTTGTAAAACATAAAAATGAAGGCATCATATATTTTGAAATACAATAAAAAGTAATAAATGAATTCATACTTATAAGACCAGATAATGTTTATTATTACAAATACTACCTAAAAATATAGTGGACTTCTTGTATTATTGTTTAGATTCTGACACAGACGTGCATAAATATCTGTAAAAGAAGTAGCAAAGAATTAATGATTAATGTGCATCAGCGCAGTGTTAACATTCTGTTTAAAACTATTTTGATGTTGATATTTGTGATTTGGATATCTTCATTAGAGTGTTGTTAGATTTGAAGTTGTGAAAATAGAAGATTTTAAAAATTGATAGAAATTAGTTGGTTTTTATGCTAAATATTAAATTATTTTATTTCAGTCATCTGATATTAGGATGCATGAAATAATGAAACTAGCTCATGAATTTCTTCAATCATTCTGTCTGGGTAATCAACCTAATCAAGCTCTACTTCATCAAAACCTCGACTTATTCCTTAATCCTGGGGTAGGTCTGAGTTTATTGTAACTTATTTATGATTTATCTTACCCTTATTGTCTCAAAGAAAAATAGAAATTATCTACAACTCTGGTTTACAAGATTCTTTCCATCAGCTGGTACTTGATCAAACCTCTTGGCTATGATCTTTCCTGGATTATCCGTGTCCATTTATAACTAAGTTGACTGAAGATGGTAGTTTCAACCTCATCCTGGAGAGGCTTAGTAATAATGAACCATGTCCTGTCTTCTATAGACCAACCCCTCTACAGTTTGAAGTAGTAAGAATATTTGCCCTATTATATAACATGTAGTGTTGTTGGTAAAATAATTTGTTTTGTAGTAATTTTTTATTTATTTATATTTTAGTTATTAGAAGCGAAGACGATGTCCGCGATATTTCAAGATAATATCAGTTTATGTAATGAAATAACAGAAAGAGTTGTACAACATTTCGTTCATTGTATAGAGACTCACGGTCGACACGTTCAATATCTCAAATTTCTACAAACTATCGTCAAGGGAGGAGAGAGAAGTAGAAAAGGGCAGGAACTGGTTATGGCAGAGGTAAATTGTTTTATTAATTTGAGGCAATCGAAAGACAAAATTATCGTAGAAAACAATTTTGCATCATGAAAATGTGAAAGCTTCAACTAATTATAATTTCAGTTTATCACATCGAATGTGTTATTTTTTTATTTTGTTTATTTTCAGTTAATCAGTGTAGGAGAAGAAGTGTTGGTATTTTATAACGACCGAGCCTCGTTTGAAACGTTAATTAATCTGATGAATCAGGAACGAAACAGAATTGACGAAAGATCTCCGTTAAAATATCATATCAATCTCGTTCAACTATTGGCTCTCTGTACAGAGGGGAAGTGTCTGTTTACAGAGATCAAATGTCATTCTCTTCTCCCATTGGACGATATCGTACGAGTTGTGACTCATAAAGATTGTATTCCAGAGGTTTGTTAAATTCAAATATCTAGCAAATGCTTTCACAAGTTGTTGGCACAATTCTTTTTATTCATATTTTTATTAGATTTTAGAAAATAACATTAGGAATATAAGAAATGTTAATGCACGCTTATACATACATACTTGTAAAATTATTATTACCAACTATAGAGATTAATTGTGCCTGAGGATAATTTTTAGATTTTATCAATAAAAATTATATACAATGCATAAAAATCATTTTCTGATGTTTGAAAATTCATTTAAATTGTCCTATTTTTATAGGTGAAGTCAGCGTATATTAATTTTCTAAACCATTGCTATGTTGATACGGAGGTAGAGATGAAGGAATTATTTAACAGTAGACATATGTGGACTTTATTTGAGAATTTTCTCGTAGATATGGCCATCGTAAGTTTTCAGTTATCCTAAATGAGAATGAGGCAGCAATTTTTAGTTAGAAATGCTGCCATCTTGTAAGGGGAGATAAAATATATTATCATGTTATTGTGGTCTGGTGGTATAATGGTTACGAATTCTTTTGCGGGAGCTGTGTCATTTCCGATGAAATGAAAGAATTGCAGGAACCACAGGCGTAGAACGAAGAATTGGTATGTCCCAAATAGAAGTCCAAGGTGTCCCCAATACACATAAAAAGGCTAGAAAACCTCTTTGCAATCCCTTTGATATTAACAGACCCAAAGATGTTTTCAATATACCTGACCATGACTGATATCATTATGACTCAATAGATACAAAGTTTATATTGTACAATATATTTAGGCATCAGTGATTGAAGATTGAAGAAAATTATTAATTTTATTTATATATTATATTACAGGTCTGTAACACACCATGTGACCCTAACCATAGCGACCAAATGATGCACGACTACGTTACTATCACTGTAATGAATATTATTTCCACGTATTTTAGTTCTTCGTATTCCGATCAAAGTACTTCCATACAGGTGAGCCAATAGACTAGTGCCTGCACGATATGTCAGTGATCAGATACATCATGATATTTTAACACGATATGATATAATGACTTGCATCACACAGTTGTTTTATCAATACTTTATAATACTATTCATACTTGATAAACAGGATGAGCTTACAGACTCTCTAAAATAGATACCAAGTTGACAAACATGACTACACATTATTATCTATGTGGACTCTCTGAAGGCAATAAGTCAATCATGGAGCAGTCATTTTGATCTTAAGCTTATTCATAATAAATAAACCTATTACTAATGATCCTAACTGCAAAACGAAACCTGAAATCCAAAACAACATTTTGGCGAAACATTACAATCAGCTAATAAACTTTTCATATAATCTTATAATGCTGTTTTTTGTAGACAAATCAACCAGTTTTCGTGAGGTTATTACAAGGTGCTTTTAGACTCTCTCATTGTGATTGGTTGTCAGGGACACAACGATTTAACGTAGAGAACTGTATTAAAACTCTATCAGATACAGGTTAGTTAACTCCCCTTACTTATTTATATTTTACATTGTGATTGGTTGTTAATTTTGATTAAATACATACAGTTGTTTTCAAACACCTACCAAAAAATGAATTAACTTAAAATGTCTAAGTAAACCTTAAGTTTTGGGGTTCAAAAATTAACGGTTGATTTTTTTAGTTAAAACTTCCAGCTAAATTTAGGAACACGTTTCTCTAGATTTTGGTGTAAAGTTTATAGTTATTGGATC